CTATAGCTCTTAGCCTTGTGTATCAAGTGCAGAGGAATATGGTTTGTAAACACAAGTAAGGCTCTAATATGCAATGACAAATAAGATTAGAGGATGGAATTTACATCTCTTGGGAAATGCCTGGTGGAAAAAGTGTGGTCATGAGACAACATCAGCCTTTTCTGTTCTCATTGTAATCCCTGCTTGTTTATATTGTGTGTGTATTGTATCCTCTGAAGTGTGTGTGTGTGAGAATGCGTATGTTAGTGTGTCTCCATTTCAAAAAGATACTTATGGGATTTCTACAAGAGGGAAGTATTACAAAAAGAATCAAAAGTAGATGTAAAACAGCTGGATGCCGAATCCGTCACTGGTTCATGAAAAATAAACATTCGTTTTACAATCACAGGGGCAGATGAAGCTTTGAAAATGCAATATTCTCTCTGAAATGCCGTTGTGTGTGAACAGTCTCATCTGCTGTAGCATCATCTATTGGTTTCACATACCCACCACAACTTAATTCAGAAACTCACCTCGTATTATCTTTAGATGGGACTCGGATCACCCGCAGAGTCTATACAAAATACAGCTCTCTTTTGAAACACACAACAGCCGCCAAATGGGTGTCAATCCTGCCTCTGCACAATCATTTCAGGAATTCAAAAAGTACAAAACTTTATTATTGTATTATGTATTATTATTATTATTATTATTACAAAACGACCGTTTGAAAAGTGCACACAAGTGGGGTTCCATCGGATCACCCGCAGAGTCTATACAAAATACAGCTCTCTTTTGAAACACACAACAGCCGCCAAATGGGTGTCAATCCTTTCAGGAATTCAAAAAGTACAAAACTTTATTATTGTATTATGTATTATTATTATTATTACAAAACGACCGTTTGAAAAGTGCACACAAGTGGGGTTCCAGTGCAGATTGCTTTCAGTTGTTTCATAACCAGACAATTTTAGTTTTACTTTGGATGAATTGTATGCTTCTTTAAATTAAGACAACCGCTCTTTAATTAAATAGGCATATGACAGAAATTCTGTTGTCCATATCAAGCATGAGGTTTCAATTCACATATAAAAGCCAAACATTCTATATGTTCTTTAGTAACTGGCTTACTGTCTGTGACGTTTTTCCCATGATTTCCTCTTTATGCACTGAGGTTTACCATTATACCACAAACTAGATACTATGGGTGAACAGGAACTTTCAAACATACCACAATAGCTTGCTGTCTTGGTTACCTCTATAGAAAGACAAATGTTGCTTGTGAAGTTTTAGTTTTATTAAGTTATTTTATGGAGCACAACAGACCTCTTAATTACGTGATGATTACAGTTTTAATTTGTTAAGTAATCATAAGTGACAACAATTGAAAGAATGACAAAGATTAGATCGAAAAGACAAATGAAGCAGTGAGCAAACACTGTACTGCAGCAAATAAAGAACGACAGGTGAATTGAATGTGGACACCCAAAAAGCAGAGCTGCAGGAATCATGTAGTAGATGGTTGATTATTTAGGCGTTGGTATAATTTTATTGAGTGCCATTAGAAAGACTGAGTGGAGGATTTGTAGATGCAGTAAACATCAATTTGTTTAACCTGTGGAGGTGTCTGTTGACAAATGAGCAGAACTTTATGCTAAACATGAAGTTTTGAACAGAATAAGGTAGAGGAGCGGCTGGCATATCAGAGATGTAATACTACTCAAGAAACAATTTCTAAGGCTGGTTTGGTTCCTAGTTTATGCACCAGATAGCCTAGTCTGATATCAAAAATCCAGAGACAGCATGAAGTGGGTGTGGAATGACCTGGAAATTCTCTGGAAGTCCTAACAGAAGGAGGAGAGTTCCATCGATCCTGAAATGAAAAGTTGTTAGAAGTGCCATTATATCTATGATGATGAGGGCATCTGTCAGAGTAACTGTATAGACTTTTGGTAAATAACTTCTGAGACAGTTCGCTGTAAAATAGGTGAGTGGGTAATCTGAGATTCATGTGTCATGTGTTGTTGATTAAAGTAATGCAACCCAGCCTTAAATAGAAGGTCGAATTTATTACATTTCAAAGAGAGAGGAGACCAGAGAGACCCTTGATTTTTTTCCCCTTTCTGTCAGTCTCTCTCTATGCCCACAGCAGCATGAATGTCTACAGAATGAGGATGCAACCCAGCCTTAAATAGAAGGTCGAATTTATTACATTTCAAAGAGAGAGGAGACCAGAGAGACCCTTGATTTTTTCCCCCTTCCCCCTATGCCCACAGCAGCATGAATGTCTACAGAATGAGATGGTGTGGCATTGTGATTAACATTGCCAGAAAATTGCCAGTTTATTCCCTGTAATGAGCAACACTGTAAAAAATAAGTGTAATTTTAGCTGTAAAATTTTGTAAAAACGCTACAGAAAAAAAACTGTTAATAGGTTAACAGTAAGTTCCCGTACTATATACAGGGAAAAACGGTAAAAGATCTAACTAGACATTTCATGTAATTCGACAGTAAAATGCTGTTAATTGTACAGTTTTTAGAAGTAAAAAACAAACAAACCAATGTATAATTTACAGTCAAAAACTGTAAACTGATATTCCCAGAATTCCCTGCATGACACTCCATATTTGAAAGTATTTTGTTTAAATAATACATTTTTGTTATCAGTTATGTACATTTGGGCTTTATGTTTCATCTTCTGTTATTTAATGAATGTTTATTGCATTATTTAAGTGTCATGTGGGTTACCATGATGGTGTTTTGTGTTTGCATGAATTACTCCTTCTAAGCTGAAGTTCACCTTCTAAGCTACATTGAAAGAATGACAAAGATTAGATCGAAAAGACAAATGAAGCAGTGAGCAAACACTGTACTGCAGCAAATAAAGAACGACAGGTGAATTGAATGTGGACACCCAAAAAGCAGAGCTGCAGGAATCATGTAGTAGATGGTTGATTATTTAGGCGTTGGTATAATTTTATTGAGTGCCATTAGAAAGACTGAGTGGAGGATTTGTAGATGCAGTAAACATCAATTTGTTTAACCTGTGGAGGTGTCTGTTGACAAATGAGCAGAACTTTATGCTAAACATGAAGTTTTGAACAGAATAAGGTAGAGGAGCGGCTGGCATATCAGAGATGTAATACTACTCAAGAAACAATTTCTAAGGCTGGTTTGGTTCCTAGTTTATGCACCAGATAGCCTAGTCTGATATCAAAAATCCAGAGACAGCATGAAGTGGGTGTGGAATGACCTGGAAATTCTCTGGAAGTCCTAACAGAAGGAGGAGAGTTCCATCGATCCTGAAATGAAAAGTTGTTAGAAGTGCCATTATATCTATGATGATGAGGGCATCTGTCAGAGTAACTGTATAGACTTTTGGTAAATAACTTCTGAGACAGTTCGCTGTAAAATAGGTGAGTGGGTAATCTGAGATTCATGTGTCATGTGTTGTTGATTAAAGTAATGCAACCCAGCCTTAAATAGAAGGTCGAATTTATTACATTTCAAAGAGAGAGGAGACCAGAGAGACCCTTGATTTTTTCCCCCTTCCCCCTATGCCCACAGCAGCATGAATGTCTACAGAATGAGGTGGTGTGGCATTGTGATTAACATTGCCAGAAAATTGCCAGTTTATTCCCTGTAATGAGCAACACTGTAAAAAATAAGTGTAATTTTAGCTGTAAAATTTTGTAAAAACGCTACAGAAAAAAAACTGTTAATAGGTTAACAGTAAGTTCCCGTACTATATACAGGGAAAAACGGTAAAAGATCTAACTAGACATTTCATGTAATTTTACAGTAAAATGCTGTTAATTGTACAGTTTTTAGAAGTAAAAAACAAACAAACCAATGTATAATTTACAGTCAAAAACTGTAAACTGATATTCCCAGAATTCCCTGCATGACACTCCATATTTGAAAGTATTTTGTTTAAATAATACATTTTTGTTATCAGTTATGTACATTTGGGCTTTATGTTTCATCTTCTGTTGTTTAATGAATGTTTATTGCATTATTTAAGTGTCATGTGTGTTACCATGATGGTGTTTTGTGTTTGCATGAATTACTCTGTTCACCTTCTAAGCTACTTGTGATGATTTTTTAACTTTGATTCTTCATGTGGCTTTCTCTTTTACCACCTGCATTATTATGCTGGTTGTCAGTATGTTAAAGGTACAAAACATAATTTAAAAGCAGCGTGCGTTGTTGAATTTATTGGTTTACATTCAAAAGTTTGTAAATTACAGTTTAATACTGTAAAATGTACAGTTTTTGGCTGTAAATGTGTTTACTGTTTTTCTGTATTTTTTTTACAAAATTATTCTGGCAACCATAGTTGCCAAAATTATTTTGTAAAAATGACAGATTTTTTTTTACAGTGAAGCCATGATCATGTTATACACTTAATCGCAGGTAAAAAAAAAAAAAAAAAAAAAAAAAAAAAAAATAAAAATAAATTTTTTTTTTTTTAAATTAAGAATATTGAAAGCGAGAGCTGTGAAACTGTATACATTTTTAGGGGTTCAAGCTAGAGGTCTACACGGAGGACCCGAGACCCGAACGGGTTCGGGGCTATTTTTTAAATGGTCAGCCGGGTCCGGGTCGGGTCCCAATCTATTACTTCGGGTCCCGGGTCTGGTTTAACATTGTGTGTAATAAAAAAAAAAAAAATATATATATATATAATTAGTATTTTTATTATCACATATCTATTTTAAATATGTTAAAATACAAAAATGGCCAAAAATACACTGTTAATACAGATAAAATATATTTACATATATTAATAATTTGCTTTACTGTAAAATGGTATGTGGTAGTAACATTTTTTTGCTTTCTGATTTCACAGATTTTATTTGGACAATTACAAATCACTATCATGGTACTAAAATAATGCAATAAACATTAATTTAACAAGATGCAACATAAAACCCATCAAATGTGAAGTGTCACAGAGGGATTTCTGAGAAAGAAAATAGGTCACGGCTCGCTTACATTGGACGGAGGCATCTGGGTATTTTCTTCAACCCGTCTACCTCAAACTGGACTAAGGTGGTGTCTGATGCTGAGAAGATCGTAGGATATCCAACTTCATTCATGAGTTTACGCTGTTTACTCAGTGACGAGCTCAGCAATGTGGCCATGCATGTAAGGAAGCTGGTGGGAACGAAACACCCTCTGCTCAACACCGCCAGGTACTGTGTTACATTGATGTCTTTCTTCTGGCCACCAGGCAGCTATCGTTAGGTATGATTCTTGTAGAAATTCCTTCTTTTGAGTTGGATTTTTTAAAGGGGTCATATGATGCGATTTCAGTTTTTCCTTTCTCTTTGGAGTGTTACAAGCTCTTGGTGCATAAAGAAGATCTGTAAA